TGTCCCTGCCCTCCAGGCGTCCTCTTTCTCCAGGTTGCAATAAGTCATGAGCTGCTCAGCATTCTGAGCAACATGTCAGGCTAGAAAAATATATGCCCCTGTGGGCTGGCAGGACTCTGGCTGGATCCAGGAAGGATCTGGACTTATCCCATTACCAGTGCCTTGAAACCATGCCAAGAACAGAGTAGTTTTCTATCACCAGGGCTGGGCCTTTTCCAGTGGAACAAACTCTCCAGACAGACCCCAGCACTTCTCTGTTGGTGTGGTCCCTGACTAAGGATCTGTGATGTGAGGAAAGAAGGCAAGAGCCAATGAGCAGTTGTCCTCATTGCAAAAATGTTCATCTCAGGGGTACTTTTAAATGTTAGTTCCCTGAGCTCATGTAAGAGTTCAGAAATAAAATCAGCCAGGCAGAGATGATGAAATCAGTATGAGGTCAGTCTGCAATGAGGATGAGTGAAAATGGAAGTCCTTTAGGATTTTATTTTCACACCATCCTTCAGGAGCCTATGTGTGGTGCATAGAGAAGTTACCTGTGATCTCTTTTTCTCTCTCCCCATTAAACCACAAACATTAGAAGCAGATTTTTGGAGGGAGGGCAATATACATCACTTCTTTTGGCTTCACCAACGAGGATGGCTATAGCCACAGAGTTTGGATTGACCCTGGCCTGTCTACCAGGGGGTAATGCATCTGCAATGGAGTCCTCAAATCTCAAATTCCAGGGGCTTAGCGAGTGAGTTAGAGATAGGGGGTCCCCTTTAGCTGGAACAGGAAACATCTGCCCATCTGTCAGGGCTATACACAAATACAGAGAACATCCCATACCCTACACATTGATATAATTTTAGTGTTTTCCAGAGGGGTTCTTTCATTCAAAAGAGAGGATCTAGGGGAACTGGCTTAAGAAATGCTGCATATAATGTCTTCCCCTTAGACATTCATAAGGCACATTAGCGTGGTAAGGCTCTGAGAAGTCCTGCAGTAAAGCAACCCATTTAACACTGCAGTGTGGCTCAGACGTACCTAACCTTGGAACTTCTCCCACCTCACAGTACCTATTAGAGCATCATGGAATACTTTTGGACAGACTTGTTCCCCAGACCTCCATCCATCACCTGTCCAGTACAGGGAGCATCCTGGGTTACGGAGTTGGGAGTCATGCCCATCATTCCCAGGATACACTCTTGCCATGGGAAGCTGTGGAGCATCTCCAAGCAGACGGAGAGCTGCTGTGGCTGGTGCTGGTGGCACAGACCTCATTGTCATGAGTCATACAACCACTCCTGCCCACTCAGATCTAAAATACTTGGCAAAATGCGTGGTCATGGCTGCCTCTGAGACACATTCCATGACTAACTTCTCCAGAAAAGCAGTTGAAGTTAGTAAGCAGAGCCCTGGACTCCAGATCAGCAAAGCTGTCAGACCACATCAGCTCTGTAAAAATTCCTTTTGCCTTGTCTCCTGGGGGTGGCAGGTTTTACCTCCCTGATTCTCAAAGGAAGAACCAGGCATTTCTGCAGGATAGGAAGTTCTTCCCTGGCTCACCTGTCCATTGGTTGAGACAGTGACGTTCAGGGGGGGCTGCCTATCACACAGGATGATGGAGGGCAGCCTAGGATGACACTTTGGAAAAAAAGCCTGCACAGATCCAGAGACCCGTGATTCCACCAACAGGCCCTGTCTGTGAGTGCCTGAACTGCCCACATCGACCACACAGTCATAACACCTGAATATGCTGGCTGGTTCAGTCCAGGATTCTGACCCATGGGGCCTCTGGGTGACAAGCACAATGTAGCCACACCCTCAAAGAGGAACTCCCACTTTCCCTCCAAAATGTCCACCATGAATTATATTAAGCCTCTTGGGATCAGTTTTTTGTTGACTCCTCAATATCTGAAGAACTTCCTTTTCATTAGTCTTAGAACATCTCAAGTCTCAGAGGCTGCCCCTGACCTTTGATGTTGAGAGATGTGTGTCCAGGCCAAACTCTGCTTTTTATAACATTGACTATGACCTCTGTGATTTCATCTTTCCAGGAAGAAGATATTATCCCACGGATTCATTAGCCAATATTTATGTGTTCTACATTGCACAAATATTTATTGAGGGCCTGCTAGGTACCAGGCACTTTGAACAGCTGGAAATTGGAAACAAAACGGAAAATCATTGCTCTTTCAGGGCAAATAATAAGCAAACATTTAAAAAGTAAAAAATACAATGTGACCTCCAAAGTACTGTTCTGAGCCCTCAGGGACCTTTTAGCGGGATAGGATATGTTTGTGTTCAGGAATTGTTGCTTACAAGGAATAGACCTGCCCAAACTTGCTCAAGTGAAAAAGGGGGATAGTGTTAGGAATCAGATATCCTGCAGATATAAAGGGCAGGAAAAGAGCAATGAGCTCTAAAAGCCATCATCTCTCTTGGGTACATTCACGTTCTCACCCACTTTCTCCTTCCTCTTTTCTGCATTCCTTCCCTCCATTCCACCTTCCTTCCTATTCTCTTCTCTCTCCTCCCCTCTCTAAGAAGGCATGTGAGTAGGCAGAAGAGAGTTGGCCTCTCTACTACAAATGGATACAAGATAGAGAGTAATCAGGACAGAAGAGCAGTCAAACTGTAGAAAGGGCCATTGGAGTTGGGAGGTAGGAGGATAACTTACAGCACATTGAAATCAGCGATTTCAATCGCTGGATTGAAGGAGGAGGTGCATTTTGCGCTGGGTCTTGGTATGAAGAGGATTTGGATGCCCAATGGAGAGCAGAGGCCATTCCCAGAACAGAGTACATCTGGAGGAGGTGCATTTGCGCTGGGTCTTGGTGTGAAGAGGATTTGGATGCCCAATGGAGAGCAGAGGCCATTCCCAGAACAGAGTACAGCGCATATAGAGGCATCCAACTCAGAGCACAGAGAGAAAAGGGTCCCAATCACTCTACTTATCACTTCCCCATCCCCCCATGAGGCCTTTATTGGGTTTCTCTGTCCCTCTTCAGGGTGGACAGGATTCTCCCGAGTCCCACTTCTTGGATCTGCAAGCCAGACTGTAGGGGCAGTTGGGGTACGGCTAAAGAGAGGACCAGAGGAGGCAGGGATGGGAGAAATGCTGCCCAGTGGAGGTCAGAAAGTCACATATCAGAATCCAGATACTAGCTGGAAGATTTAACCACCCATCCACCTGTTAGTGACCTCAGTGTAAAGTCATCTAGTGACAGAAACTTTGACCAAGAAGTTAGTGCACAGACGTGGGCCTCTAGTCTGCCAGTGATTTGCTGATGGATTCCTAGCATCAAACAATTAACTGTTTATTTGGCTTCTCTGTGTTGGGCACTATAAAACAATCGTCTTGTTGGTCATACCTGAGAACCTACTGGTGACAGCACAGGGCAGGGCCTCAAGGAGGAGGTAGGGCAAGTTGCGTGTCATCTTCAGCTGGGGGCCTTGAAAGGGCGAGGACAACAGGAGCCATTTAAGCATCTCCAGTGGGCCAGTGATTTCATATAAGTCATCCTGTATCAGCTTTATACCAAGTCTGAAAAGTAGAGATTTTCCTCACTTTTTAAGGAGGAAGCTGAGACTCAGAAGTTAAGATACCTGTGTGAGGTTACACGGTTAAGTAATGGGGCTGGGACTTAAACTTAGTTCTTTCTGACCCCAAACCCCTGCTCCTGGCATGACACCATGTGTGCCTCCCCAAGACCGGCGGTCCTGTGGCAAGTCCCTGGGACAGGTTCTGGGTGGGTCTAAGTTGCCTGCCCAGGGCACAAAGTTTCCCAGATTGGGATGATGAAAAAGCTGCTGTTCTCCCTTACCACAGGCCTCTCCTCTACTTCTACACAATCTCAATACCTGTAGTCCTCAAATCAGAAATTTACACTAAAAAGACAACCTATTACAGGTTGCGTCTCACAGATTCAAACATGATGTGGGTCAAAACATGTCCCAGAGTCTAACTGGCACATGCAATATAAGCTAGAAATTATGGGGCTTTCCCATAGTCAGATGCTGATGCAGGGGAAGGCCCCTGTAAGCTGTGGCTTATGCTGCACTCAGGGCCAAATTCATGAGTCTGTTTTGCTGATGGTCCATCCTCTGCATGAAGTATTGTTATCATTAGTCATTACCTGCTGGCCACCTAATGGATCTGGGGTTTGATACCTTGGGTACAAGTCCCTTCTAGGCAACTTACCTGTTAGGTGATATTTAGCCACTCTGAGCTGCGGTTTCCTTATGTCTGAAATGGGGATAACAACAGGTGTTCCAGTGACTTCACAGTGCTGTCAAAAGGAATACATGAAGTAACATTAAAGTGCCTTGTGACCTGCAAATCACTGTCCAAGTGTGGGTATTATTGTTAGGACAAGTTTATGTTCAACTTTATAGACGTTAGTCTACTGTAAGCTCACCAAGGACGAGGAGGACTTCCGTGTGAGACTGGCTTTTACTTTTCACAGCCAACCACATTCACTTAGGGTCCAGATCTGTGGGTGGCCTTGGAAACCTTAGCTGTAGCCTTGCCAGGGGACTTTCTTGCCCTGAAGTATGGTTTAGACCAGAGATGCTCCAGCTTTTGTGCAGAGATACTAATGGAGTAGGTCTGAAGTGGGGCCAGAAAAATGATATTTGAAAGGCTCATGAGATGATGCTGAATTGCAGACAAGGATGGATTTAAGGGAGGCTAGGACAGTTTCCTGGGAAGATGCTCTTTGGATTCTTCAGCCTCCTGGCATGTGGGGAGGGAAAAAAATGGGATCTGTTCCTCTTGAAGGGAATGACAAAGGGAGTCAATTACCTGCTGTTGGAAAGCTGGGAGTCAGTGTCAATAAAAGGAGGGTGAGGTCAGTCATAGAGAAAAGCCTCGTGAGGCCTTGCAGGCTGTGAGCCCCAGCCTCTTGGCAGCAGGTGGACTGGAAGGAGAGGGCCATGATAGGCAGAGGGGCTGAGCTGGGCTGCTGCAGCCAGCATGTGGCTAACATGGCATGTCGTTCTCTCTCTCTCTCCAGATTGTGTTCCGGAAGATCAGCGACGTGAAACGTGAAGAGGAAGAGCGCATGAAACGAAAGAATGAGGCCCCCCTGATCTTGCCCCCAGACCACCCTGTCCGGCGCCTCTTCCAGAGATTCCGACAGCAGAAAGAGGCCAGGCTGGCGGCTGAGAGAGGGGGCCGGGACCTGGATGACCTAGATGTGGAGAAGGGCAATGTCCTCACAGAGCATGCCTCCGCCAACCACAGCCTCATGAAGGCCAGCGTGGTCACCGTACGTGAGAGTCCTGCCACGCCCGTGTCCTTCCAGGCAGCCTCCACCTCCGGGGTTCCAGACCACGCAAAGCTACATGCACCCGGGTCCGAGTGCCTGGGCCCCAAGGCGGGCGGGGGCGATTGTGCCAAGCGCAAAGGCTGGGCCCGCTTCAAAGATGCTTGCGGGAAGGGTGAGGAATGGAACAAGGTGTCCAAGGCTGAGTCGATGGAGACACTTCCCGAGAGGACAAAAGCATCAGGCGAGGCCACGCTGAAGAAGACAGACTCGTGTGACAGTGGCATCACCAAGAGCGACTTGCGGCTGGACAACGTGGGTGAGGCCAGGAGTCCCCAGGATCGGAGTCCCATCCTGGCAGAGGTCAAGCATTCTTTCTACCCCATCCCTGAGCAGACGCTGCAGGCCACAGTCCTGGAGGTGAGGCACGAGCTGAAGGAGGACATCAAGGCCTTAAACGCCAAAATGACCAACATTGAGAAACAGCTCTCTGAGATACTCAGGATATTAACTTCCAGAAGATCCTCTCAGTCTCCTCAGGAGCTGTTTGAAATATCGAGGCCACAGTCCCCAGAATCAGAGAGAGACATTTTTGGAGCCAGCTGAGAGGTCTATTAAAAGTCAGAGACAGACACCTACAACCTTGCCGTGACCACCATCCCTACCACACACGTCCACATGACCAACAATTTTCAAGTAGGCTTTTCCTGACAGAAAAAGTGGGGCCGGTGGCTTAGACGCGCTCTTTCTCTATCTGGAAAAAGATACGGGAAGGGTAGCGTGCCCCTACCCTGCAAGGTGGCAGCTGCATCTGAACCATCTTTGCACAATTTTGAAAGAAGGGACATGCTGTCTAAAGGGTGTTTTCCTTCATTTTTAATTTTTTACTACCATGATATTTGTAAAAGAGAAACTACCAGAACAGAGCAGCAGCCATCTGGGGACTGGTGGGAAAGTGCCGAGAACCTCTCATGTATATACCATGCTGGGCTCCTTTGCCAAGACCCCCAACGGACTGTGGTGGGCCAGGGACTTCCCGGCATCCCCGTCCTTGTACAGCCTGTGTCTGACATCACCATGTTCTCCTGTAGTTGTCATTTGTAACTAGCTCGGGACAAGCGGAGCTTGAGGGACAGGAGGGTAGAGCCCGGAAACTTTCTGTCTCATGGTTAAGGCCAGAAAAGCAGCTGCAGGTGTGGTGCATGCCGCCCGTAGACATTGGAGCTGGGAATCCTCAGGCCTCCTTTCCCAAAGGTGATGAGGCAAGGGTAAGAGCTGGAGAGGGGTCCTTAGGATCCAGGGGTTCTCTGCGGTGCGGCCCACAGCCTGCTCCTCTGGGACAGTTGACAGGGAGGGCTCGGAGTCCCCAGCTGAGCCTCTGGCCGTGCTCCATGCCGCTGGCCTCACACACAGGCTCCCTTGCCTCTGTTCCTTCTTGGCCTCTTCCCAAGTGTCCCCGTGGCATTCCTCAGGGTATGGAGCATCGGCAGGAAGGGTCATGAGCCCAGAGTTGCTTTATTAACAAAGCAGACACACACAACCTCAGAACTGTAGCAAGTGCTATGTTTATACTTTGATTCTCATTGGGATTGCCCTGCAGACCTTTGTATTTTGTTCGCCGCACGGGGTCATTATAGGCACTTGGGAGCCATGCTGGGCCTTATTTTAAAGCCAGTCTCTCTATTTCCTACTAAAGTCAGTAGGATTTCAAGAGAAAATGGCAAAAGATTTCAGGATCATGATTGTACTCTCTTCAGGAGCTGGAAAGAGAACGAAGCAGTGAGTTTCCAGCTATCTCTGTAAGGTGATGGAGAAAAGTGGCCTTGGAGCCGTGGCTCCCAGTGATGGTCACAGGGCTGCATATGGGCCATCCGAGCCCTTATGCCACGATGCTTGGGGACAGTCCACTGCCTCGTGGTCACCTAAGTCAGGTTATTCATGTGCTTGGGCTTCTCTCAATGGCATCTGAGAAAGGAAAGGGGAGAAGTCTCTTCCAGGCACAGTGGAGCTGGCCAGGGCATATGCCCTAGAGAGAGGTGTCAGGACCCCAAATACTGACAAGCAAGGTTAGAAGTTCAGCTCTGAAGAGTCAGCTTGGAGGGAATGGAATTAGGAGTACAGGTGACAGCATGGACTTATCCAGGGAGCTTACCTTTGCCTATGTTAGATGGTGACCCCATCCCTGGTACCTCTGCCCTACCAAAGATACTCAGTGTTTCTGAGAGCCTCTGGTCCGAGCCTACCCACCACCCCACCCCGCCTCACCTCCTTAGTCCTGCCCAGTGCTCATGGTGAGTCCCAGGGCTGGGCCCTCGGTTGTCTGTGCAAGGCAGGGCTGACCTCTCCTGGTTCACAGGGTTGGCACAGATGGCCCTGGGAAGCCAGGGCCTGCGAGCTCAAGGGAGAGTCCTGCTCCAGGAGCCCTAACCTCATATGTAGCTTCTCACATGAGGCTTACAGGGGCTGCCCCTAGCTTCTCCAGGCTGTGACATAATTAGATTTAGCCTCAGGTGGCGGCATGCAAAGAAGAGGAATTCTAATTTCCTAAGGCCGAGTCACAACTGTCTGACTTTGGATAAAGCTATGAGGCCTTCAGCCTCTTTCACTTGAGAAGCTGCCAACCAGTCCTTGGGTAAGAGCCCGTAAAATATCTAGAATCCCATCTGTTGGCTGCCCCCTAACATTCTAGTCTGCCATTTCTTAAACATGCTCCTCAACCTGCTTCTGAAGTTTAGGAGCCACCACTTTTAAGGCAGGGTAGGCCTCTAATCCACCCCCAAAACCCAGCCTCAGAAGCACCTGCCCCTGGAGACTTTTTGTTGCCTCCCAGCTCTCCGGGGACTTGATGACAGGCTTCTTGTCCAGCACTCCATAGCCAATGTCAAGAGGCCCTGCCACTTCCCTCCAGCTCTGCCGGAGGGAGATGGATGTCCATGAAATCTCTCAGACCTCTGGGTATGAGGGGCAAAGATGATGTAAGGCTTTGAAGTCCAGACATGTTTTAGGGTGGAATGTAGCTTTGGAAATGCACTCCTGAATCAGTGCAAACTGGGCTCATGACTGGAAGCCAGCTCCTGCGGCAGGAATCTGTTCCTCTTGGGGTCACAGGTGCACGTGTGGGTGCATGGGCTTTATTCTCCCGTAATCCTCCCTAGGATTTGAGGGATTTTTTGCTGTAATTGTTTTCTCTGAAAAAATTGTGTAAATGAGCCAAACCTTTCTCCCTTCCTTTTCACGCCATGAACTTGGCCGCAGGCTGCTTTGTGCTGCCTTCCCATGCCAGGATGCCACTCTGGGTTCCCGAGCCAGGACCATGTGCCTCAGACACCACTGACCTGAGCCTTCCAGTATAAACCATTATCTGGTGGCTGGAGAGAGATTAGGGAAACAAAAAGTTACTAGGTATGGGACAGAACATTTAGACGTCAGAAAAAGTATGCCAAGAGAACAGATTTGCCCAGGATATATGTTTTTCCTTTTTGAGGAGTGGGGGCATGATATGTGGCACCATTGTCTAGTAAGTGCTATTTGATTTCTACTAAATTCTTTGCTTTGAATGTCATTCATACTGAAGCTCCATTTCCCAGAGAATATCCTGACAGGCTGCTTTGAAGTGGGGAGGTCTTGTCCCTGTCACTTGGCTGCTGGTTGAACATGCTCCTCCCGGCTGATGGAGGGGGTGGGTTTAGGGTTAACTCTGAGAACTGAGATGGTCAGTGAGGTGGTGTTTGTTCTTGGTGGGGGGGCACTGACTCCAGCAATGGGCACTGCCATCCCATATACTTACAAAGGGCTCCTCCACTGGACATGACAAGATAGCCAAAGGACAGAAACAGAGGGGACCATTTGGTTGAAAAACCAAATTATCTAGTGTACAATTAATGCAACTCATTGCATTAATTAATGCAATGCTACATTATGCTAACAAGGTTACAACATTAATGCTACAGGATAGCCCAAGTATTTAAAAAACTGAGCCCATTTCGCAGCCTTCCAGCAAACTTTTGGAAATACATTTCTTACTTGATTTCTTCTTGTTATCCAATCCCTGGGGGCCTGTTTTACCCTCAACCTCTTTGATCCAGTGTGCTGCTGTTGGCCAAACATCAGCCCTTTTGCTGGAATCCTCCTCTTTCAGAAGTGGGGAGGGCTGAGCAGGGGTAAAATTGTACTACACCACCCCATCCCATTCAGCAAACTTCCTCTCCAAATCCTTAGATGGAAGGTATTATACCAACAACTGTCAAGCTCTTTGTCTGAGCCCTTGTGGGGACTCTAGGAATACTAGGTATAGGAAGATCCTCATTTTCCCTTGTTGCACTGACCACTCTGTCTCACATGCATACTCTGGGAAATTTTAGGAGCCCTGGTGGAGATAGATACACGTTGCTGATGTGCATTTGATTAATAGATTGTACTATGTCTTGCAATAAAGACGTTTAGCCTTAAGACCCTTGAATGGAACTCCAGCTGTGATAGAGCTGCCAACGCCCCTTCCTCTCTCCTCCCTTATCACCTAGTGTTGCTTAAAGAGGAGGCCATTGAGGGCACACTTGATGCCCCAGACAGCCTCCCTCTGTTGCTAAATCATTGTTATTGCTCTATATACTGCCTTCTCACTCGCTTCAATTAAGATTACCTTCACCAGCTCCTGTGCCCTCCATCTGGAGGAGACTTCATGATCCTCTCAGCACTGACTACAAACATCAGAGAAAAAACCATTTTCTCACCAAAGGTGTTCATGTTGAGAAGTTTTAATTTCTACCCCCTACAGCTCAAAAGAATCAATGTGAATTTATCTGCAGCTTAAATTCAAGTGAAACTTCATTCTCATGTGAGCATATCAGACTTATTCTGGAACCTCTAGAACTGGACTTGAATTCCCTGCAGGTGCCAGAGCGGTGGGTGCCCTCCCTGCCTGCCATTAAACTTTTCTTACAGCCCTTGTCTCTTTATCTGGCTTCTGAGTCACCCGATGGATCCATTAGTTGTTCAATGAGAAGTTCACAGATCTCGTATCAGGATATAAACTGATCTTACGTTAAGAAGGATGCACCCTCCCCTAATGAATGTATTCTCTTTATATTCCGATGCTGTATTTGTGCATCAGTTGGAGACTGTCCACATCCGACGTTTCGCCGGCACCTCAAGGACACTTTACTCATGAGCAGTTCACCATTCTGGGGCTTCTCCTTATATTAATACGCTTTCCATTGAGTCCTGCCAAATCCCTTATTGGGTTTTTCTTTTTCCTTTGCATCTGTCACTTTGTCCAAATGAGCATGAATAAACAAAAGTGTAAATGAGCTGATACTATTTTTGTGGTCAGCTGAGGATGCTGCCAAGAACACCACTGTATATCTGTGGCTTGGGAATGTTAAGAGGAACGTGCAGGCCCCTCCATTGATGATATTCCCTTCTCAACATTTTTAAACAAGCACAAATGATATTTGTAAAAAAAAGTTTTATTTATTATGGTAATAAACTATTTTATACATGATACTTGCTTTTGCCTTTCCTTAATTTTAGGTCACTGAATTGGATGTTCTGGCCTAAGATGACAGTTGTGACTTAAGTTGTGACCTAGGATGGTATTTATTTTCTATTCAAGAGTTTGGGAAACTCTTATTTGGACAGCACTTACAGTTTTTTGAGAACTTACAGTTCCAGATTCACCAAGACTGTGTGTCAAAGTACCAAATAGTGAGAGAATGGACATGAACGTATGTGGCTGTACGATCTTAAGGTCCAGCTGCAGTTGCTGTACAAGGGCAGAGATGTTGACCTCAATGCCTGGTATCACGGAAAACTGTATGACACATGGATCTGATACACCAGAAGCTGACCACCCCCCCCACCCCACTTACTTAGATGTACACTTTTTTATTTTGAACAATTTGGATTGAAATTTGTATAAAATATATTAACGTTTCCCTTGCACCTTTTAAAATATAGTATGAAGAATATAACAATCTTTTTTGAGTGACTCAGTGTCTACAATATGAGCTCTGATCTGTGCTTTACACTTCATTGATAGTCTCAGAAGCTATTAAGGTATTTTGCCTCTAATTGAAATAGTCCCATACACCAGCATGGTTTCAGTTTTGCTATTTTAATAGGTATTGCTTCCTGCTCATGCAAGGCTCCACAATATTGCCAACCTGAGTTCTTATTTACCATCCAGTGGACCACTTTACAAACATGGCACTTCTCTTATTATAGACAGTGTAACTTAATTAGGGGATGGGGAATCTGACCTACAAGCCTCTGCTTGATCTTATAGGATCACAGTAGGGGTACAGTATTTTTAATGATGTTTCCTTACATTGTGTGCAATGTAATGTTTCCTTACATTCTGTGCAACTGATTTAATCAAATTGCACAAAAGCATTATAAAAATAATTTAAGGGTGATATTATTTAAAATTCCAAATTATTGATGTTTGTTTCAAAAGTATCACTAATAACGTATTAAAGCATTCTTTATTATTTATTTATTTTTTTTTGAGACAGGGTCTCACTCTGTTGCCCAGGCTGGTCTCAAACTCCTGACCTCAAGTGATCCACCTGCCTCGGCCTCCCAAAAGTGCTGGGATTACAGGTGTGAGCCACCACGCCCAGCCTAAAGCATTCTATCTAGATCTCTTCAATGTTGCAAAACATCTCTGTGAATATGATTTTTGTAATTAGTCAAAAGGGCCAGTAACATAGAGCTAAGTAATGAATGCCATGTTTTGGGTGCCAGATGGAGTTCAATGATTTTAAAAAGAAGGTTTTTTGTTTTAAAATGAAATAATTTCCCTGAGAAAGGCCTCAGAGAGGCTTTCCCAAAAGGCGCTGAGGCCAGTAGTATCACGATAATTTGGCTTCTCATGTTGTCCACACTGAAGGGAACACTATTGTATGGATATATTCTGATATACCTGCTAAAAACCAAACTCATTATATTATGGTTAATTTACTATTTTCTTTGTCAATGGTTGTATTATTTTAAATAAGCAAGTGAGCAGTCTCAATTTCTGTAAGGGGAAGCCTCCTCCTCCCCCACCAAAATTGCTATTCTCCCAATATATAATTATACAATTATTTGTGTCATTGATTTATTTTTTCTTGAGGCCTGCTATCTTTAATGGAACAAAATGTTTTCTCCTGACACTTCAAACAAATTAATTTGAAAAAATAACCTTTCAGTCTTCTTGTGTGGTCCCAAGAATTAGAATGACTAAGGTTTGGGTGTCCTTCAGGTATCTTGCTTCCCTCCTTGGGTAGCATCTTGGCGATTGTGCTTGGAGCTCTTGGTCTTGCCCGCAGAGTGAGGCTGGTATCAGAGGATCCAGGGTCTGGAGCTGACCTTGGGACCTTGTCTAGTCTTTTCCCAACACTGTGCCTGAAGTTGCCCAGGGCTGATGACATGTCCAGTGTCCTTGACTGAACTCCTCTGTGTGCCCAGGCACCACTATTCAGAGTAACTACAAGATTTTAGTTAATATGCATGAGGAAAGAAGCATTATCATTTTCATATTCCAGCTGGGGAGTAGGAAGAGGTTAAGCAAAACAATGGTCCTGGATAATCCACAGATTAATTAATCAGCCTCAAATACAGAGCTAAACACAGTAATCATTTATTAATTCCTGAGAACCACTATGAATCATATAATAGTTTAAAAGAAATTCAGGATTACCACTTTCAAATGTATCCACTGACTCTTCCAAAATAGTTTAATGAATGAATAAGCCTATTTGTTTTTCTATAAATGGTATACTTGGAAGAGCTCAAAACTTTTGTATTACTTACATGTACACATACATTAGACACTTCCATATCATCATTTTTATACTTCTTTCTTTCTTAGCAAGCCCTTTCTTTCCGAGTAAACTTCAGCCGAACTCCCTCTGGCTGGCCACAAATCCTGAATGAGTGCTAGTCCATGAAGGTTTACTGCATTCATGTAGGTGCCCACTCCCCCCTGAGGCTCATTCCCTCCTAAAACTTCTGAGCACCCTGAAATCACCGGCCCCATGTCTGTCTCTCTCCTTTACCAAGACAGCTGCTGAGGCTGCTGCTATGCAGGTTTACCTGCCCCTCTCTGGCCTCTCTCTTTTGCTTTAGTTAACACATAATGTGCCCACCCAGGGTAGTCAGTATCTGGCTCCCCTCCCATCTCTTTGCCAAGCAGAGAAGCTATGAAGAAAGACAGTCAATAAAATGGTCCTGTACTCTAGGAGTTTAAGCCTCATTGAGTTGATAACCTCAACTCGAGACATAAGGGCCATGCTATGTAATAAACAGGAGGCAGCACTAGGTCCAAGTGAGCCTTTCACTCAATGACAACTTAATTCACCTACTTGAGATGTTGTAAATTCTCCTGTAATTAGATATATTATGGATTCAAATTTTAAGGCTCCTTTACCCCTCCCCACTCCAAAAAAAAAAATTCCAAATTCACACAGAAGTATTCTGAATTATCTACCACTTGGGACCTTTGGTAGTCTATCCAGCATCTTTTTAGAGGAGTGAATAATCAAGTTATGTGAATATATTTAGATTTTAAACATTTTCCTCAAACATATTAAAAATAATTCTACAAACATGTAGATTATCTACATGACAAAAAAGGCTCCATTTGAATCAAACCATAACAATATAAACCACTAAACGTGAATCACTGAGTAGGAGGATGACTTTTGAGACGTGTAGAGAGGGTGGACAAGACTCCAGGACACCATCCTCACGACTAGCCTGATAGCACCCATCTGTGGATACACTATCCTGTGGTTTCTAAATGCTGCTTCTGTATTAAGAAACTATTAACTGTAAGGTAGAGGAACTACCATGTTATACTTCTCTGCAAATCTCAGAAACAAGCACCCAAATGTAGATCACCCTGCTGAAGCTCAAATCACAGGACTCCTTGGGTATGGATGCCTTAGAATGCTACAGGGCTGCTACTGTCTTCTTGGACTAGGTAATTCAAAAGACAGCTGTGGCTTGCTCTCTTTCCTACAGAGGGGCTGAAGTGTGAAGCTCAAACCCTAGTGCTGCTTCTAGAGACACTGTGGGATGTGATGAAGGAGGTCACTTAAACATCAATGTCACTCAAATATTTTAGAAATACTGCCCAGAAGACAGGCCTATCACTAATCAGGATTTCTGTGTCTCAATCAATAAATGTACACTACATTCTATTCTTAAGGGGAAAGAATGCAAAGGGCTCATGAAAGTAGGTTCTAGACCAAAATGTCACCTTGCGTAGTTGGGCAAGACACAAAACTGCCCTGCACCCCAGCTTCCTCAATAGGAAAATGATGGGTTGGGGTAGAAGATTTCAAAGACTCCAGGTTAGAAGATTGTCTGGCTGTGAATTTTCTGTGAGATCCAGCATCCAGTCTTGGAGTGAGAACATTCAACCGAAGATGAACAGATCAAATCCCTTAGAGGCTGTGCTGGAGTGAGAGGTCAAGGTGAAGCACTGTTTGCCTTGGAGGCCAGCAGCAAGGACTGGCCTGGACCCAACAGCATTAGTCCATGGCGTAGGTCTGGGCCCAGGCAATGCCCACGTGGGAGTAGCAGTACAGGAATCCCAGGACAGAGAGGGTCACCCATGGCCAGCCTGCAGAGGGAGGACAGAGATGGAAGAGCAGTTAGAAATGCTTGGGGCAGGATGTCCCATATGGGCAAACTGTCCCCTTTTGGAGAAGGCAACCTGAGAAACACCACAGGCCTCCTGGAAAGTCTGCTGTAACGACAACTTCAGCAATTGAGTCCTACATTACCATCAGAGTCAGCATAAAATGAGGAGTGCACTATTGCAAACACAAACCATGTTTAGAAATAGGGCAAGCTTTTAAAGAAAAGCTTGTTTTTCTTTAAAACAATCCATGTTTAGGGCCAGGCACTTGTAATCCTGGCACTTAGAGAGGCTGAGGTGAGAGGATCACTTGAGTCCAAGAGTTGGAGACCAGGCTGGGAAACATAGTGAAACCTCATCTCTACAATCCATCAATCAGCCAGGCCTGGTGGCGTGTTTCTGTAGTCCTAGCTACTTGAGAGGCCAAGGAGGAAGGATCACTTGAGATCAGGAGTTAGAGGTTACAGTGAGCTATGAATGCACCACTGCAATCTAGCTTGGGCCACAGAGTTAGACCCAGTATTGGTTTAAAAAAGAAAAAAAAAGAAGAAGAAGAAGTATCCATGTTTAGAGGACTAAAGCAGTTGGTAATTGAAAAAGGAAAAAAGTCCATGAGTCTGAGAAAAAGTAGTCTCACGTGCCACTGTAAACATGTAGGTCATGTTCCAAAACCTGTACTTGTAGATGAGTTGTTTGAAACCAGGGTACGTTTCCCCTAGAATAATACTATGTGATTCATGGACAAGACACAAAAATCACCATCATCATTCTCACCGTTGTTGGTTTTCTTTTTTTAAACTTGTAGTAAGTATGAAATAGCACTAATAGGAGCTCTGAGCCCTGGGGCATTTAGGATCCTGAAGCCCAAATATAGGGTCCTCTGTCCTTGGTCAGCCTCCCCAGAGCTTTCAAGAGTTCTAAGTGGTGGGGAGTGGGATAGAGACTTGCAGATGTGGCCTGTCCTTGGCAATGAGACAGGAAGGTGCCAGCAGCTGAGAGGAAAAGGGTGCCAGGCAAGATCAGGAGGGTCATTTGATTGGGGGCATCACAACATTTCACAGAGAGCTTTATAAATTTAAATTTTTGACATTTCTTTTGAATATGGCTAGCTAGGAAGTCATTACCTTTGTCACTCCAATTGTGTTAAAAGAAAAGAATGACTGTGAAATGTAGGCATTTACAATGAACTACATTTTTTTCTTAAAGTCCATGAGTCCCATAGTAAATCTCAAAATGTAGATTGAGCATTATACTGAATTTAGTGCCATTTGTAAGCACACAGAAGGGGGAGCCTAAATTAAATATTTGCTTTCAAAACTGAAAGCTTTTAGTGATTCCCTCTACAAATACTTGTCTTAGAATATCTGATGTTCTTTTCTTTTTCTTCTTCTTTTTTTAAAATTAACAGCCCTTTCTGCTGAGTATTTGTTGCTTAACAATCTTCATGTCTTCTGCATGTTTCACTTAAACATTGATTGGGGGTTCTGGAGAGCCAGAGATGCTGGGGAAGATACAAGATGGCAAAATGGAAAGACCCAGTCCCGTGTCAAAAGCACTCCCACTCCAACTTGGGAAAGACACACACACACACACACACACACACACACACACACACACACCCAGTGGGACTTATGATCCATGTGATAAGCGCTGGATGATGGACTGCACAGAGCACATTTAAACTGGGCCACATGGGCTGAGCAAGAGTTTGTCAGATGGCAAGGGACAGGGACCAGCTACCAGAGGAAGACCACCTGATGTGTAACCTTACAGGCCATCCAAGGAACGGGGATCATGTGACGTGGCTGCTGCATAGGGAAGAGGCAGGCAGACAGTGGTAGGAATAGGAAGGAGGCTGCAGGAAGCCCCTGGGGATGGTTACAGGCTCTCTTCTTGCTATGTCAGCCATTAGCTACCATAATTATTAATATGGCATGGGGAAGTCACTGTAGCATAGCGATACATGTGCAGGCTCTTAAGTGGGATGAGTTCAAATTCTGGCTCTGCCACTTGCCAGCTGTGGAACCTTGAGCAAGTTAATGAACCTCAAATGAGAAACTAGGGATAGAGCAACTTACTGAACAGTGTCCTTACAAGGAGGGAGTGAAATGATGTAAAGACTTGCATGGTGCCTAGCATAGCACAGAAACTAAAAAAAGGTAGTAATAATAATGGTGAGAGGGCACGGAAGTCTTTCTCCACCAAGATTAGAGTGACAACAGGGAAGTCAAGCCCTGGCCTTCCTTGCGCCTTAGCCTAGCTTTCCACAGTGTTCTCCCAGGCCCCGCGGGCAAGAGAGGTGAGGGCAGCAGAGGACCCCTGGCAGCCTGGCTCCAGGACCAGCCCCACAGCTCCACTTCCTGCTAGGCAGCCAGTATGTGTCCTGTGGCTACCATAACAACTTACCAAACTTAGTGGATTAAAACAATAGACATGTATTCTTAGTCCTGGAGGCCAGAAGTCTGAAATCAAGGTGTTGGCATGAACCCTTCCTTACCTCTTCCAGCTTCTGGTGGCTCCTAGGATCCCTTGGCTTATGGCAGCATCCATTTTCACATAGCCTTCTTCCCTCTGTCCTCTCCTCTTCTTCTAAGGGCACCAGTCATCGGATTTAAAGGCTATCCCAAATCCAGGATTTCCTCTCAAGATACCTGACAAGTTACATCTGTAAATAACCTATTTCCAAATGAAGTCACATTCTGAGGTGCCAGGTATACATGAATTTGCGGGGGAACACTATTTAGCTCAATACAGCCAGGTACTTTCCCAGAACTTCCAGATGGACCCATCCTGCTGGAAGCCCTCAGAACTCTCATTACTGCGGCTTAGGCACAGACGCCAGGGGACTGGCCAACACCTGCTCCTCAGTGGGTTCAGGGAGCAGGATGAGGGGAGTGGGCTTTGGACACAGAAAGCACTCGTGGACTTCAGCTGTGTTTGGAGTGAGGCATCAGCAGTGTTTGGTAAACATGGAGCCCAGTGGCCAGCTGTGGAGATGGGCCAATGGGGATGCTTCGTTTACACAATGCTAGGCCTGGGGCATTGCACAGCTCTGCTTGGCACCTGTGGCTATCAAGTGACACCCTGTGAAAGCTTCCGCCTAACACACAGGACTATAAGGAAGACTGTCCCCAAGATTGCCCAGAGGTGAGGCATAGACATGTTTAGCACAGGCCATAGCTAGGTTCTGAAAATTCTCCCCATTCTTACTGTATATGCCATCCAGAGAGGTGGCTAGATAGCACTTAGGAGGACTTATAATCCTGACTGTATTATGAGATCCTATTAGGGCCTCAGTTTCCCCATCTACACAATGAGAGCTCAGAATAATTTTTTTAAAAGCATACATGCAAATAAAATAAGATCACAGATTTGGTAGTGCTTTAAAAAGTGTTTTAGAAATACAAAAAGATTAACATAGGGCCACTTGATAATTCTGTTACATACCCACAGCTCACTGGACTTTTTAATGCACACACGTTCCTACAGACAGTAGACCTGGCATGTACCAGACGGCTGTCAAGGGTTCCTTATCCTTTCCTGACCTCAGGAGTAAGATTTATGATGACAGAATCATCATGAATGGTGATTCCAAATGAAGTAACATGCTGAGGTACCAGGTCCACATGAATTCCAGGAGGAATACCATTTATCCCAATGCAGTCAGGCATTATTTAGAGATGTAGTTTCGCTCTTGTTGCCCAGACTGGAGTGCAATGGCGTGATCTTGGCTCACCTCAACCTCTGCCTCCCAGGTTCAAGTGATTCTCCTGCCTCAGCCTCCCAAGTAGCTGCAATTACAGGCATGCGCCACTACTCCCAGCTAATTTTGTATTTTTAGTAGAGAGAGTTTCTCCTTGTTGCTCAGGCTGGTCTCCAACTCCTGACCCCAGATGATCTGCCTGCCTCGGCCTCCCAAAGTGCTGGGATTACAGGCGTGAGCCACTGGGCCCGGCCCAAAATTCATTTTCAAAATGATGGTAGGCCAGGCACGGTGGCTCATGCCCATAGTCCCAGCACTTCGGGAGCCCGAGGCGCTCAAGTCACTTGAGGCCAGGAGTTCAAGAACAGTTTGGCCAACATGGCAAAACTTTGTATCTACTAAAAATACAAAAATTAGCAGGGTATGGTGGTGTGCACCTGTGATCACAGCTACTCGGGAGGCTGAGGCACAAGAATCACTTGAACCTGGGAGGCAGAGATTGCAGTGAGCCAAAATTGTGCCACTGCACCTCTAGCCTGGGCAACAGAGTGAGCCTCTATCTAATTAATATATACATATATATATATAAAAAAATAATGATGGACCTTCAGTCCTTCATCTTCCTAGGGGGAGAGGGACTTGTTGTGTGTAGGACTGAACACTGGTCTCCCCTAATCATGCCTTCTTCCCCTGAGGCCTCTGGGGAGCAGGAGCACTGGAAAAGCTTTCTTAACCATGCAGATGCATTCAGCAGTGGGAAGGCTGCTGTTGCTGAATCAGCACAAATTCCTATCCCAAGGAATAAATCAATCCATCCTAATGGGACATGAGTTAATTGAGTTGCTGAATTGTGTCTGAGCTATCAATTACCGCATCACAGGCTCACTTGGCTGTCAGGCTGGGCAGCACTCCTGAGCCTGTGACTGCCATCTTGTCTCTAACAGGGCTTTTTCAAAGACCACATCCTACTGGTACCCATTTTTAGAAGAAAATGGCTGATGGCCAGCACGTGAACAAACTTCAGGGAAGCTTTCTTCCTAGCCACCCAGCACCATAGTCTGTCTACATGTAAATGCTCTACAAAGAATATGCAATCTACTACACCATTCACAAAGAATACACAATCTTAGTTAATTCTTACAACACTCTGAGGTAGAAATTACTATTCTCATTTTAAGAGGGAGAAACGGGGGCTCAGAAAGGTAAATAACTTGTCATAGAGCACCCAGCTAGCGGATTCTCAAACTTTGGTTTTGATTTCAATCCGATAGTGATAATC